ATGTGCTTAACAAACTCGGGTGCTGGAGAAGGAGGAGGGGCTTTCATAGTTTGATGGGCGCTAGTGGAAGCATGAACATCAGCAGCATTCAACTTATCTTTGGCACTGACCGCGGCAGCAGCGCCAGTTGACGAATCCTTTGCTTTACCCGGATTGCCCTGGGAAAGCTATGAGGCCTTCCATTTCTTCGCCAACCCGACGGAGCCAGCTTTGGTTTGGTTTAGCGCCACCAACCAGCTAGGAGGATCGTTTTGTTGGTTATCCATGTCGGGTACTACACAAAAGAAATAATAAGATACTATTATCAAAGGCAGCATAACAAATATGAAGGTATAGGGTTGGAGAAAACAATCCATACTTAATTCAACATCCATATCCTCTTGGGACTTGAAAAGAAGGGATGCGACACTAGCATGCTTATGCGACAGGAGATACGTGCCAATGGCAATGGCACTGTCAATATCAGATGAACTCAGCTGGCTACCTTGGAAACGGTAACTGGAGGAGGGGAGTTGATAATGGTCAAAAGACCAGTGCAAGGGAGATTTTCCTTCACCATTCTAGGCATGTGAGGTGTCAACAAACCACACGCTCTTGCCAGGATGGGCAGAAACTTTAAAGAACTTGTCTTTAAATTTTTTAAAAGAATCAGTATAAACTTGAAAAAGTTTACGCTTAGGGATACCTCGAATGGTAACCCACCCTTTTCGGTCAGCCGGTTCCCGGCCGGTTCGAGGAGTAAGCACTTGAAAAAAGAAAAAGAAAACACATACAGAGGCCGGAATAGCCAGATACGAGCAGAAGCGCTCAAAAGCTTTAATAAAGCCCCAACCATTGGGATGAAGCTGGGTGGGAGCTATCTGAAGGTGATTCAGAAGATCGATTTGAAAGTCAGTCAATGGAAAGCGGACGCCAAGTTGCGTCACGACATCTCGAAAGAAGAAAAAGAAATGGGGCTCTCCTGACCTCCCACTAGAGCACGTGTTCGTCTTTTCGTGGGGGGACTATGTTGAAGTTCTCTAGCTCCCCCACCGGAAGGGCTGTAACATCGTCTAAACCCATCTCCGAAACAGTACTCAAAAATTCATGAGTGACCCAGGGAAACTGGGTTATTAAACCAGACGAGGGACGTGGGGGATATGACTCGGTAGAACTCGACTCTTCTACTACCTCTGGAGGAGGGGATGCCATAAAACCTAAAAACAAGGAAAGGCAGGAATTAAGAAAGAATCAGAATACCTGAGTCACAAAGGCTATCAGAAGAATCACTAGGTGATGATGATGATGACATATCGAAAATCATAATAGGATCATTTGCTCCTCCTGATGCACAAACAGGTTTACCTCCATGCCGACAAGTAGCCAACGTGGACTCGGCCAAAGAGTCGCAACCTTGCTCGACAAGCTTTGAACTCAAGAAAACGCAAGAGTAACAAGGAACATTCCTGGGGATAGAAGAAGGCGGTGAAGCTTGGGTATGAGACAGAGATCTCAGATGAATGGTAGGTCGGCTAGAAGGCTCAACTCTGGGTTGGGGAAATGGGTATGAAGAACGCCTATTTTCATTATGACGACCCCTAATCCGGCGAGACGAGCCTCTACCTCGGGGATGCCACAACCCTCTACTCGACATCCCGGACACACTCTGAGATTTACCACCATGGCAACCTCGAAGCACAACTTCATGCTCTTCTTCTTCGGTCCTGGGAATCCCCCAAAGCCAAAAACGAGCACTAGGAGGAATCTTTTTGAAAAAATCAGGATCTTCCTCCCTCTTCCCTTTAAAATACAGAGCTGGAGAAGGGGAGTTCCCCCCCTCATTTGGTCAAAAAACTGAAAAATGCTAAAATGTCAAGTAGCAAAGGAAGGAAAAGGAGGAGGACAAAGTCATAACAACCAACACGACAGAAAGGAACACAAAAGTTCTGAAAGATGCAAACTATGGAAGTTTTTCATAGATTATGGAAAAAATACCAGAAAATCGACGAAGGGAAATATGCGACTTCAAATTTACAAAAGAATACTGGCAAGCAAATGTTCAAATACAGAACCATAAAACAGAAGCAACAAAAGAGCGAAGATGTGTGAAATACCTGCTGAAAGGAAGATGAAAGACTGAGACTGAAATGCTGAAGAGCAAACGAAATGAGGCTGATGCACAGTGCTCAGAAGGCAAACGAACGAATGTAAGGGGAAACGAAGGCTTATATAGCCATGGCTAGTGACCATTGGGGTTGCGTATAGCAAAGGTCAAGGCTATTTAGGTCTTTTCGCTCCTCGAATCATAATTGCCACAATCGTGGAAGGAAACCGCAATCATCATGCGCGAAAACCACAGCACGAAGAAAGCCAAGGGGCAAGGGCATTACTGCCAATTCACCTCAAAAAGTAATGATTAGACAACTGAAACGATGCTGCATTAAATGCGCACGAAACGCAACGACTACATAGAATGACTGCGACACGCTAAAACATGCGGGCTGTACCACGTGGCAGAATGAAATGAGTACAATTTACAAACCAACAGATAAGACAAGATATATACGCCTGCAACTGTCAACTGGGATAAACGCTGACGCTTGGGGCAACTCGATAGTCGAATCACGACTACTAAAGTGCATCTTTTACCCGGTTACTCCATAAATGCCTTGACGGGTTCATGCACAACCCGTTGACCAAGTAAGCAGGCATAAAGACATATTCCGAGTCAAGGTATAACGCTTGAGGGTAACCCGCCAGTTGGATTCCAACAACTTAAGCGTATTCTTAACCTGGAGTAGGAACATGGTTAATGCTCAACCTGCCAAAGTTTGCAGCAAAGGAAAATGGCGATGGATATGGCATAAGCCAAGAACTCGGAATAAACATAAATGTTGACGTTGAGACAACACGACCTTAGGATCCCGACAGCTCAAGATTATACCCGGCCCAGAAGGTGAGGTACGAGAAATATCTCACCGGGTTGATGCTCAACCCGTCGACATAAAGGGGCAAGTGACACCCCGCGTGGAAAAAATTCCAGAGTATGAGGAGCATGCAAAGTTTGCAAAGGCGCAAACACATTCAAGGGCAAAAACCTGAAGAGATGCACACATAAGTCTACCCCGACTACCCGGATGCCTAGGTAGCCGGGCTGAGGGGCAATTGTTATGGACCCATATAAGGGGTCCATTAAGTGATAAGCCCAACAAGGGGCAATCCAATATATGGATTGATATTAATAAATGATAGTATCCGTCAAGGATACTAATCCTAATACGACAGCGTAGCAAGCAGGCCTGGGCCCTCACCAGAGGTACCAAAGGCCCATCCACACTACCCACATGTAACTTCTATAAATACAAGGTAAACCCTAAAGGTACATACGCTCTCTCTCTTACTGTTATGCTGTCATTGTGCACACACACACACCCCATTGGCTAACGCTGTTATAGTATTCTGTGACTCAAGGGTATCTCCTTCATAGATACCTTGAAAAGGGCACTAGATCCAAGAAAAGCATACCAGTCTATTGGGTTAGACATCTCTGTCTCAAAGACATAATAGAATCGAATCAAATATGATCATGCCACCTCAATTAGCTATTTAAAATTATCAATTATAATAAAATAAATCAAAGATCATCGTACAAAAAAGTCGAAAATCAAACTTATCTAAAATCATGAAGTCCTTCGTAATCATCTCACTAAATAAAAAATCAAAAATCTTGAACATGAAATTATCTGATGCGATCTACCTCCACGCATTCCAAACGTAAGAATCTCAAGACTGGAGTTGTTAAGTCATATGTGTGTGACTTTTTTATTCTCTTCCTTCAAATCAATAATGGACGTGGGCCACACAACTGGAACTACAACAGCTGCAATATTCGGCGCAATTAAATTAATTTGATTCTATCGGAGAGGAATTTTTTTTTAAAATAACCAAAATGACATATTGTTAAAACTAAATTATTTAAATGTTATATTTTATTAAAAAAGTTGCTAATGCCACGTTTCAGATCTCTTCTCAGTCTATCAAGTGTCATCTAAATAAGGACTCGTTGTTGATATAACAAATTTTGGACCCATTATTTTTGATATATTTTTTATTTTTTTTAAGATATTTCAATCAATTTATTATTTCGCGATTAACTTAATTTAGAGCGGATTCCAAAATTTTTTAACAATTTTTATAAGAACAACACATGACAAAATAATAACTCAATTGCACAAAAAAAATCATTTTACAGGGCTAATTATTTTTGACAGCAAATTCTTATCTAAACTACACGTGATAAATTGAACAAATGAAATTGATAATTGATCCTGAAATATGATATTTTGACAAGTTTTTTAAATGTAACATTTGAATAATTTATTTTGAAAAAATGTGTCATTTTAGTCTTTTTACAAAATTTTATACTATAGTTATTATAAAATTTTCTTATTATATGTTATTGAAAAAAATAAATGAAAAACAATTAAACTTTAATTAATTTTTAAATTTTTAATAAAACACATTGGTCCTATTTATTTAGTTTTTTAAATTCGATTCACATTGTCTGGGGAATAACGTAATGGTCTTGGCTTCGTTTTTTCTTGTGAGAGGGTGTGGGCCCATAGTCCTTGAATTTTTTGGGGCTTGGCATCTACTTTAAGGTTAATTCAACATTGGTTGGCAGTGGCACTGAGAGAGGAGCGAGACCGAGAAAAGACAAGACAACGATGTAACCAACGTATGCTCCTCGTGGAAGGTTTTCACATCTCTCGCTATTGTTACCTTCATCATCATTGAAGAATGCAAAATAGCAACAGTTCCCTCTTTTTATTGGCGAGTGATAACTTGTGACTTTACCTTGTTTTGAACCAGGTTGTTCCCCTCTTAGTGCTTTTGCTTTTTCACTCCCTTATTTGAACGGTTAGTTTTTCTTCTTTTTCATGATTTTACGACAACTCAAAAAAAAAAAAAAAAAAAAAAAAACAGATTCAATAGAATCAATACACCACATAACCCAGATCATTTCTGGCAAAGTGTCTCTGTCATTCATGTTTGGTGGAGTCAATAATTGAAGTTTCAAAACAAACCCCTTTCATTCAAAGGATAGGAATATAGCCTTCCTCACTTTACTCCTGTGAAGTGCAGGGTTTTCCACTTACTGGGTGAAGAACAATTTTCAGGGTTTGTTGTTGGTTCACCTGAATCATTCGTTTTGATTATTTGGAATTGTGGGTATGCAATGAAGTGTGCAGATTTCATGGATAAATTTTGAAAGTTCGTTTTTTTTTTCCCCCAAAAAAATTTCAGTTGGATAAGCATGTTACCTGAGCCCTGTGATTCAAACATGCTTCTGTCTCTGCCTGATGATGTATTTGCCATCGTTTCTGAGTTCCTCTTGCCGAGAGATTTGTGTAATTTGGGTCTGTGCTGCAGGAGTTTGAACGCTCTTGTTGCATCTGAAAAAATCTGGCTCACTCAATGTGACGTTTTGGACATAGTGCCCCATAAGGACCTTGTTGAGTGGAGAAAGGGTGTTTCATCTTACAAGGCACTTTGCCGTTTTCTGCTGAGTGTCCAGCCATTGATTGGATTATGGGTTTATCAGAATCCTGAGCTTGGCAACGTGGTGTATGTCATGCCTGGTTTTGTTTCAGTTGTTGGTTGCAGGATAATTCCTCAGGAGCTTGGTCCATTGGGTATTGAAGAAGGTCCTATTCTCTGGGCATCTGTTTTTGAAGTTATTGGTAATTTTGATGGTTCAACCACATTTCTTCTTCATGGAAGGGAAAAGGGAATTGATTATGTATATCCGGGTTCACTCAAGCCTATAGAGAAATCTTGCAATGTACTATTGCTTGAGGTTGAACCTGGGCAAAATAAGAGTGTCAGTACTTTGTTGCAGAGTAAAAGCTTTGAGTACCACTCGGGCGTGGAGTTATCCAGGAAGGTTTGTAGGTCAAAAAGTGAAGTTTCTATGTCGCAAAGGATGATAGGAAATAACGAGGCAATGTGTATATTCAGCAAATTAACTTTCGGTGATAGAAGAAAGTTGCTTGAGGTCACTACTAGCCAAGTTCGACAGAAGGTTCCTGATATGGTGATTGGGCCATTGTTTCCTAGGTTAAGGGATGATGAGGAAAATTTTCAGAAAGATTTGGTGCTCTTGTGGGAAAGAAGATCATTCCTCTGTCAAATGTGCACTCTTGGTTGTAGTAGTCACATGGACTATAAGCCAAGTTCTCAAGAGGCAGTTGGTCCAATGCAATTAGAGCTGGATAATATCAGAACAAATCTTGACTGTTCAAGTGCTATGCATAATCCTTTGCATGAGGAGGATGGTCGCACACATTGCATCAAGAGAAAAAGTCTAGGTGGATTTTTCTGGAGTAGCCTTAAACAGATTCTTGGAAGATCAAATTCAATTAATGGCAGTCATTCAGTTTCCAAGAAGCTTACTTCAAGCAGTGAGATTAGGCATGCACGGCTTCAAGAATTTCTGAGATCAAGTGACACAATAAGGCTAACATTAAATGCCTCAACTGTTAAGCTATCTTCTTATCGAGCATGGCCAAATATGCATGACAGTCGGTTTGCACTTTACAAGTTGCCTTTGCGAGTTCCCAGAGATGACCAAGAATATGCTGGTTTATGGGGAGGAACTTTTGGTTGGCCTCCTGGAAAGCCTTCTGAAGACAAGCCTGGAAAGGCTTTATTCTTTCTTTTGCTCTCTTATGAGGAGTCTCAGGGACAACAGCATCTCATTGCAACCAAAATATTGGAAGGCACCCACTATGTCTTGCATCCTAATGGTTCAGCAATGTTTATAGTGAATATCAATGATCCTTCATCTGAAACCTTTCCTTGGGACACTAATGCAGACTCGTTTCCAGTGAATAATATCAAGCATGCTTTCACGGGAGAGGGTATTGCAAGTGGTTATGGGTTCAGATACCCTGGATCAAAGCCCGGTTCCCTCTTTGTTTTTGAAAATGGGGTCCTTGCCTTCATTTGGAAGGAGTCAAGGGCCGTTTTGACCTTGCAAAGACTTAACTTGCTAGAACTTTTGAAGAAGGGTGAAAGGGTACCCTCACTGCCTCCCGTTGCCAATTTTTCATATCTGACAAAGTCCTACTCAAATGTGTTTACCGGCTTTCCTAGCACTTCAAATTGTTTGTCTTGAACAAGGTTTGCCTTAACCCTGACATGTAAGCTTCTTTTACTTCAAAATTTCCCCTCAATCTGTGCATGTCTTAATTGGTTTTTGGTTTCCTATAAATATTGTAGCTATACAGTTTTGTGTTAAATTGCTTAAATAGGTAATCAGATATCATGATTTTTTGGGGATCATTCTCAACTACTTTGGCCTAACATTAATGTATCTGACCATGGAATTAAGTATTATAGTTACAACTTACAAGTATAATGAAGCATAGGCTGATGCACAACCAACTCCAAGCATAAAGTTATCCTTCAGACTAATTTACACTAACCATATTTTTTATGGTTATTATATTGAAACTACAAGTAATACATACTGCAATTTTATTATCATTTTATTTTTTTATGTTTTAGGACTTTCAAGAAAATCAAAATCTTATTAATAGTTCTGGCAAAAGATTAAAAAATTTAGAACAGCAATCACCACAAGAACTGTCAGCTGCTTATTAAAATCCAGCTTGGACCAGCCCCGGTTTCGGTAACCTGATGCCCTCACCCGGTCCGAGTTGGGCATCGGATAGGTTATGCATTCGAACCGGTTGACCCGGTTTGAACCGGACCAAAACCGGGTTCAATCGGTTTTATATTAAATTGTGTAAAATATATACATTTTGCTAGCAATGAGATTCGAACTTATGTCCCCATATTTGAGGATGGGAAGATTTATCCCTGGACCACTTTTAGTTATTGGACATAATGTTCATAATTTAATATTTATTATATATTATTTTGAAATCCGGTTAAACCACTGACCTAGTACCTCGACCTAATTGATAACTGGTCCGAGTTTTAAAACACTGATAGTATTCAGTAAACAAATTGAAGAAACAAATGATCCTGCGACACCTTAGACTAATTGCCTTAGTTCACCATAGGCATATAATATATACAAATATCCTGCTTGTGAGAATTGGTGGCATTTTAACAGCGTGATATTATTAAGAGTTGCAGATGGATTGTCAGTTTATTTATTTGCTATTGTGGTTTGCGGATGTAACATTATTTTACATTTTTTATTTTAAGAATGTATTATTTATGTTTTAACTATGTATGCAATAACTTTTACATAAACTATGTATGCAATAACCTTCACAAACTAGGGGAAATTTACTGTTAGTAGAATAGGGATCAACAGATTAGTAAAATTACTGGAGATGGAAAATGTATGTGGTACAAGATTTTTCGGAATCAGATTTTATAATTCTCCAACAATATGATCTATCTGGGTAAGAGAGAAGGATATCCACAAATCTGACAGCAGGGCCAGCACCAACGTGCCATTCTGTCAATGTTATGAAATGCATTGTAACATCATTATATATGACTATGTGGCTCTTCTGTTATAAAATTGCTCGTTTGGATTATTTTTTGTTGTTGTCTATGACTATGTACATGTTGGTAGAAGATTTGAGATGTCTGCAATCAAAATCTTTGAAGGCTAATCTTAATTGCTAGTTACCCTGCAATATTGTCCCCTTTCTAAAGAAATTCTAAGCCATGGTTGCATGTTTCTTTACAGGCAAGGATAACACTAGTATATTAGTGGGCTTAGGACTCAAATTGTTTTTGTGCACCTAGATTACTATGGTTTGACAAAGAGGCTATAAGCTTCCTAGCTGCTGTTGGTGGTTGCTGGAGTTGCATTGCTTCTGGTTGTCACAGAATACTCTTACTGCTTTTGTGTTTTCATATTGCTGCTTCTTGAGACCAAAGATGGAGGTAATCTTTGTCAACTAATGTATTATGGGTTATTATCTTATCTTCTACAGGTATATCATGCTGTTTGTTGTACTATATATGGGAGAAAGTATAAATTAAGGATTCTAATACAGTTTTTCTCCACATTGGATGTATAAATTGGCATGATGATTACCCTTGTGTGCCAGACTTACATTCCTGAACGTAATAGCACAGACATGGTTTCATATACTATCATCATCATGTAAACAAAATTTCACCACTCCTAACTACCAAAAATAAATAAATAAATAAAATAAAAAATTTCACCACTCCGCTTTGCCCGGTGGCCATTTCTATGTTTGGGGAAATGCTAGGTGGGTTATATAAAACACTTCACACCATAAAATAATTAAAATATGGCTTTAATGGTTCTGTAGTGAATTGAATGCAGATAATTTATTTATATTCATTTCCAAAATCATGTCGTTTGTCGTTTTGGGTTAAAAGATTAAAATGTTATAATAATAAAGACTATTATAACCTTGGAATAAATTATAATTATAAAAATATCTTGATTTTTGCCATAAAATGACGTTGTTTTGTGTTCAATGTAGATAACTTATATGTATTGACTGTAGAAAAAATGATAATATATATAAATTCAATTTTCAACTTTTATATTTTTTTATTATAATATATATAAAAATATATAATAATAAATACAAGTGATTTTTTAAGTATGTAAAGGTGTTAAGTCAATCTTTAATCAAAGATTTAAAAAAATTGAAGAGAGATGTAATTTTTAATCAAATTTTTAATTTATTTTCGTTTGATAAATTCCAAAAAAATAAAGCATAATTTACTAGGAAAAAAAAAATCTATATTGGAACCACCAAAAAAGAAAATTACTGTGTATTGGAAATTGAATTGGAGGCTTGGCGAGCAATAAGCACATTACTGGTTCGACGAATAGAAAGACACGTGTACCAGTCCAAAAAAGGGAAAAAAATACAAAAAGAAAGAAAGATAGAAAGTAGATTAGCTTATATTCCTCGTATTTATTAAAATGAAAGAAAATTGGTGAAAGGACAATGTACAATAGAAATATGATCTCCTTTACTTAAAAAATAGCTTATCCTTATAGATAGAAAACATAAAAGTTGCAATTTTATTTTGGTCTTTGTTTTTTTTTGGTGAATATTTTGGTCTTTAATTAGGTTATACCCGTAAGCAAGGATCTTTTTTTTTTTAATTTAAACTTTAGTATGTATTTATTGAGAGAATGCCATTAAACTCAATCTTTATTAATTTCATAACCCATTATTTTTTGTTGGCAAACGAGGTTCAAGTTTTATGAAGTTGTGTACTCTTCGGAGCATTAAAGTGGTAGCTTTACAAAATGGAAAATTAGCTTAGGTGTGGTTTCCGTTATTATCTGTTTTTTTTAAGGTTTAATATTTCTACAGCAAATAGATAAATTATCTACATTTACTCTTAAAGTGATATCATTTTGGAATGAAAGATTAAAAAATTATAATGAAAAAGACTATTATAACTCTGAAATAAATTATAATTATAAAAATATTTTGATTTCCGCCTCAAAATGACGTCATCTTGAGCTCAATATAAATAATTTATTTACATTGACTGCAGAAAAAATGAATCATTTTTTAAATATAATTTGTATTTTATTAAAAAGAAAAATATTTTTACTGTCACAGTAGATAAAATTATCTCCAGCAATCATAAAATTACATCGTTTGGAAGTTGGTGATTTAATGAAAGATATTTTAAGAATTGTATTTGTTTATTTGTTATATGAATCTTATCAAAATATTTTTTATTAATTTCTCAACCCTCAAAACGATATAATTTTAAGTTTTTGGAGATAATTTTGTCAAGAAAAACTAATAAACCCTTTGTTTTTTTTAGACTAATTCCTTCATGGCTTCAAGCGATTTTTATCACTAACTCCAAAGTGTTTTTTTTTCAGACTAATTCCTTTATAACTTGAAGAATAATAATTTTTGGGTTTTATATGTATCATATTGTAGGAAACTTGTAACATCATATCACTCTCACAAAAAGTGATGTCCCATCTTGTTTTCTTTCTTTTCTTTTCTTTTTGAGTGGGGTCCACATGAAATATATTAGAGTAACATGACAGTATAAATTTTCTACAACATGACATATATAAAACTCATAATTTTTGCCACTATAGAATGCTTGTCGTAAAAATTAAACTCATAAGTTTATCAATCACAAAGGCCCATCCCTACATTCCACTTCCCAACTAAGCTATATGTGGAACCCGGTCAAAATGTTACTTTTCATCAAATTTTTTTACCTAAATGCCACGCGAACAGTGTTATTTTTTAATATGTCACGTGGGCAAGTTCACTGGGCATTGTAGCGAACTCAGTTTGCTGATGTGTCATGTTTCTAGTGGATAACAAGTATCAAGTTAAAAAAAAAATAGTACCAAGTTCGCTAAATTTGGTAGCGAACTTGGTTGAAATATGTATTTCAACCAAGTTCTCTACCCCGTGTAGCGAACTTGGGGTCCACTTAAAACGCGACACGTCAGCATTGAGTTCGCTACGATGCCCAGCGAACTTGCCCACGTGACATATTAAAAAATAACACTGTTCGCGTGACATTTAGATAAAAAACTTGATAAGCAATGACATTTTGGTCAGTGTTCCTCTGTGTGTTAGGTTAGAAACCTTCATTTAAATATTGGGAATGTTGATTTGTGCGAGTTGGTCAGCTTCCGGTAAAAGAGATCTAGCCTCTCTTTTTTTAATTAAACTTATGTTAGTACATTCGATAAAAAAAAAAAGACCACGCCCTAACAAATAAAACTCCCCTGGCTGATGCCGCCATAAGGAGCATTTTTAAAGATGGAGTGAAGTGTAAAAATCCGTGATAATCTTACAATATTATTTCATATACTTCTCACTTTTAATAATCGTATATTAAAGGGAATTCACTCAAAATAATCGTGTATTCCTACACGATTCGTGTAGGAATACACGGGCCAGCAATTAAAAGATTATAAAAGTATTCTAACTTTAATGACGCCACTGGAAATAAATAAGCGGACGTAGAGAAAACAACGAAAAAATTTATAATATACCTCATGGTCTTCAATTAAAAATTTAATATTTGGCTTAAAAAATATTTAATTTTTCTCTCTCTACTGTCTTATCATTTTTTTTTTTTTCATTCTTCCGCCTCACTAAATATTACGTGCTCAAGAAGCAATAAATATGCTCTCGAAAACAAGGCCAACAAACCAGAACTACATGAACTTAATTAAACAACCAATAGAAGTAGGTTGAGTTTCTACCCTTTCTCAATTCTCACTATACTCTATTTAAATAATGAATATATTATTTATTACACTTCAGAAAGACTTTATTTATGAAATAAATATATTTCACTGCAATTCATTTCATATTTTTTACTAGACTAAATAAAATAGATTTTGAACAAATTGTAAGAGTGAATTTGTTTGTACATTTTAGAAGTAATTTTCATTAAAAAAATATGTTCTAACTAGTTTTATGACTGCTAACTAGATATTTTTAAGAAAATAAAAAAATTGCTAATTTTAGGGTTTAATGTTTTCATATTGTATATAATAAATTTATCTCCTGCACACATATAAAAGTGTGTGAATCCCATATAGATCTATATGAGGAGAAGAAAGAAAAAAGAAAAATATAAGCTTTATATACTTTTATGAAAATGAATCCTCTCATATTTAAAAAAATATGACATGGTCACGTGTGAGAATCATAACCATACAAAGATAAATCAATGGTTATGATTCAACAACTACTTATTTTAATATATATTTTTCTCTTTTATCACAATTGATTCACTTTTATATGGTTATGATTGACTACATGACCTTATCATATCATTTTTTAACATGAGAGGATTCACTCCTTATTTTTATATATGTAAGAAATAAATATATTTCTTATAACACGAGAAATAATAAACTTATACTTTTATTACTTTTATCAGAAATTATGAAAAGATAATTTTTAAAAATAAAATATCTTAATATAATAGAAAATATTGTTTGTTTTGTTGCATTATCACTTGCAGAATATAAAAAATAGGTAGGACCACTAAGAAAAAGTGAGCGAAAAGTAATATTATATTAAAAAAATTTCAAAATAAATGGCAACAGAATGAACGAGCTGAACATCGTAGAAGATGTCTGTAATACTGCCTTTCTTGTTGACCTTACTGGCTCTATCTCAAGCTCAACTACACTCCGATGATCCAACGCCACCCTCATCCACCGTCTGCATCGTCGGAGCCGGCATCGGCGGGTCCTCCGTCGCCCATTTCCTCCGCAAATACTCGCCGGAGTCCACTCCCGCCATCAAAGTCCGAGTGTTCGACCGCAACAGCATCGTCGGGGGCCGCATAGCCACCGTGACCATCGCGAACGAGACCTTCGAAGCCGGAGCTTCCATTCTCCATCCGAAGAATCTGCACGCTGTTGATTACAGAAAGCTTCTCAACCTCAAGGTCAAACAGTCTCCTTCGGATTCTCTCTCTCTTGGCATTTGGGATGGGAACAAGTTTGTTTTCAAAACGGTTAAGATTAGTTGCAATATTCCCCTCATCGATGAGCTCCTCAAACTTCCATTCATCGAGAATCTCGTATCCCTCGTTAATTCGGGTCTCATGTTCGTCCGTTACGGCTTCTCGCTTCTTAAGATGCAGAACTTTGTTCAGGTATTTCGTCTTTGTGTTTATCTCTCCACTCTTTTTTTTTTTTTTTAATGAAATAGGATTAACTATAATCAGATGGTGATTGTGATTTGTAGTAGAAATTATGATTTAATATAGGTAGTTAAGCGGTTTACTATAAGTAGATTGTTGGTTAAATATGTTTGATATAGCTGGTTAGTGAAAGTGATGTGAGTGTGTGTAGCATTGTTATTATAACTATGGATATTGCTTTCTAATGATGTCGTAATTTAGAGTGCTGTGGGGAGGTTCTTAAAGTACTATGAGGAACCTGGTTCGAGGCCAATTTTCGAGACTGTGGATGAGATGCTGAAATGGGCTGGTCTTTATAATCTAACTACCAGGACTTTGCAAGATGAATTGGTTGATTCTGGGTTGTCTCCCTTGTTGATCAATGAACTTGTCACTGTAAGAATTTCTTACTACCCTTTTGAATCTAGAGCACAAATTCACAATTAATCTTCTGGCAGTTCTGCTTAATGCATTGATAACACTATTTTCATCGTTTCACCATTACAGAACTACAAGCCTGCTTTTTGTTAATTGTGATGCTGCACATGGTGACACACTCACAGACAAGGAAAACACTATTTTATTTATTTATTAATTTATTTTTTCGTGGGTCTTAAAACAACTATATTAGGGTGAACAATTTGGGGAGCCATGACCAATACTTCAAAAGTAGATGCCAGCAAGTTTTTCAGGGTTTGTAATTTGTGTGTGTTTCGATATTTATTTGTTTCAACTAAGTGCCAATTTAACAGTGATGGTTTATGTGAAAGCGTTATGTTGCTGTAGAACAAATGATCTCACACCTCTACAAAGGAGCAGCCTATGAGATTTAAAATAACTTATCAGAACATGGATTTTTGTTCTGTTTGTTTATGTAGGTCATCACACGAGTTAATTATGGCCAGAGTGTCCACATGAGTGGGTTGGCTGGTGCAGTTTCTCTGGCAGGATCAGGTGGAGGATTATGGGCCATCGATGGAGGCAACTGGCAAATGGTCGCTGGACTGATTAATCGGTCAGATGTTGCATTACACCTGCATGAAGAAATAAAATCTATTGCTGTCCTGGGAGATTATTATGAACTCAACTCAACCAAAGGAAACAGCTACACCTGTGAAGTTGCTGTGGTTGCTACACCATTGGATGAGTTAAATATTCAATTTCTTCCCCCAATTTCAGTTCCTGAGAGAAAATTACAGCACACGCATGCAACTTTTGTCAGGGGCCTTTTGAACCCTGTGAGTATTCGGAAGACCTGATAGTCATAAACCTACTACTGGCATTATGTAGTACAGATTTCATCCTTGTCAGTCTGATATATCTTCTTCTTTTATTTTGGTTGGTGCTAGTGCTACTCGTAATGGAGATGCTTTGTTGTGCACCAGGTATACTTTGGTCTCAAGGCTGTGACAAAAGTTCCAGATCTTGTGGGCACATTAGAGGATCCTAACCTTCCATTTACAAGCATTTCAGTTCTCAAGAAGCACAACGAAAAAGAATATACTTATAAAATATTCTCTCGTCAACCAATGGCAGACACATTACTGGATAGCATCTTCAGGTAATAATATCAACAGTTAGTTAATTTTTCCGTGCATTAAAAACTTTTAAGTTACTCTGCTGATTTGTCTACCAAAATATATCTTACAAACCTGCTCAATTCCTGTTGGAAAAGATGTCTAGTCCATAATTTGGGTAAGCCATCGATTCTCGCATCAAACCTAATACTAAAACTGTGGACTCAGATTAATCATTTAGCCCTAAGGTGCAAATGGGATGCATCAGGGTTGGAACCTAAATGTTCATATTTACTTGTTGATGTGCTTTCTGTTTAATTGCTGTCTCGTCTCCCTCCCCACAAAAATGAGAAGAAGAAAACTTGAACTAGTTTGTAACTTGTGTTTATTGCTGCCCCTGGCAGTGTGAGGAAGGAGACTATTCGGATAAACTGGGCTGCTTATCCTCAATATCACTCCCCAGAAATATTTGCACCATTTATATTGGATGGGAGGCATCTGTACTATGTCAATGCATTTGAAAATGCAGCTAGCACCATGGAGACAAGTGCAGTGGCAGCTGAGAATATTGCCCGACTCATACTGGCAAGATATTTTGGCATTGTGCGTTCATCTAATTTGACTGGTAGTTCTCAAGGAGAGGGTACTCATTTAGATTTGTGATAGAGTTATTGTAATATATTAGTTTGGGTGATGTTGAAAGATTTTGTATAATTTGCATCTGAAAATCCGGGAAAGCAAATCAAGCAATGTATAAAGATGGGACGATAAATAATTGCTCTCTCCCTTTTGTATTTTATCATGTTATTAATGGATAGTGCGTCTGATTGTTGAGATTTCAATTTCTATTGAGCATTTCTTAGTGGTTGTATGAGACAATAGTCCTTTACTAATGATGTTTCGCTTAGAAAACGAACTAGGGATTTTTCAGCCACAATAGTCCGATTCTTGGACACAACTCGGTTTACCAATTGTGTCACCCTTTGGGGTTGCGTTTTTCATTTTTTGGTCTCTAAACCCCTTTAAGTTTGGGTTAAAGTGAAAAAAGAAGAAGAAGAAGTTAAATTCAATTAACTTTATAGTTTCGTGAGTTACGTGACAGGCATGTGTCTTCAAAGAAATTATTGAATAGTTACGATTTCAACTGTAGTTAATAAATTTAAAACTATTATTAATTTAAGCAAATAAACTTTATAACTTACATACTTTATTTGGTAATTCTTTACCAAAAATGTGCATCTCCCTTATGTCCACAAAGGACTGTGAAGACGAAAATTTCTTAAGTGGGCACATTCCATTCAACATTTATTATTAAACAGGTGTAAAGTTTGTTCAAATAATATACAAAATGCACCTCCATTAGATGCTTATTGTTTTTAAGATTAAAAAAATGTTTAATAGTTTGAATTTTATGTTTCCAGTTTCACAGGCACATAACTCTCCAGCGTTTCTCCATTCTATTGTTCTGCATTGTTTAAAAAATAAAATAAAAAATTCTATTAGAGTTTAGAGATGAAACCTTTGCACTTCGTATAGGACCGTACTTCAAGAATAAGGTAAGTGTAAGTGGTTGAGTGATGATATCTATTTGGTATCAAAAAAATAAAAACAAACAAACAAACTTCTACATATCTACTTGTTAATGGTGTGCTTGTAGTAGGCAATACCCACCTAAGGAAACCTGCGATGAAGACATCTGTTTTGCACTAAGTGTTAAATCTAATTAGACGTCGTATCCTTACTTAATGTACATGGTTTTATAACCACGAAAACCAACTTAGTGTTGTTCAATTTTCTTTTTTTCTTTGGAACTTTTAAGTATTCTATATACAAAATGTCATCGTAGTATGCTGTGCAATCAACTTTGCAAACTAAGCCGTAAATCCTTGACGCACAACCTTGTGGCTGATGAATGTCAAGTCTTTCATCCTCCAAAAGAAAAGAGAAAGCAGACAAGAAAGAGACAACATTACCCACCAGGTGTTCGGGATATTAGGGACAATTTTATAATGGAGCAGGTTATATTTACAAACTTTTTTGTTTACAAACTCTTACAAACTACACTATGTAAAACCGGTCCTACATTAATCACACAGTGTACGACCGGTCCTACATTAGTGTAATTGCAAAAAAAGTTTGTAAATGGATCTGTCCCTTTTATAATTGACTAGATGTCTACGCTTTACATTGACATATCTAACGTACAGAATGTGAAAGAGTAGCTAAGGAGGAAAAAACAAAACAAAACAAAGTATGATTATCTCAATATATGATTCATGTTAAGGTTGATTTATTATATATGCACATCTGTACAAATTGAATATAAATGCAAATTAAATGTCTGTTTCTATTTAAATTTTATGTTTTTCGTAGGGCTAGGATCTCCTCATGTAACCAAAAATAAAATAAAAATATCACTACAAATACTTAAACCGATCAAAACTCCATTAACTGCACGAAATTTGCAACGTATGGTACAGGCAGACATGAAGACTAGGTACTGCACCTTGGTTTGCAAAGCAGTTGAGATGTTTCGGTGACAATATTCTTCAAGCTGCCAATGGTTCCTCCATAACTGTTGCACCATCAGTCATTAGCAGTTAGCGAATTTCTTTTCTACTTTTTTTTTTTTTTTTTTTGGAGGAGAGGGGAAGATACCTTTTCTTTTTGTAGATACTTCAGCATCACTGGTAGCTGGTGCCTTGGTTGGGACATCAGGAAGGTCCAACTTTTCGTTGATTTCTTCAGGAACTGAGGTAGGAACTTCTGGAAGATCATGGACTGCAAGCTGATGGCAATAATATGAACTCTGTCAATTGCCATAAAATAACTTATAGGGGCATGATGCATCTATTTGCAAATTCATGCCTCTTTGATTGATTCAGAATTGTTAATTTGTTTGGAATGATTTATGTCAGTATTTCCTTCATATCATTTTCCTAATTTTAAATTCATGATCTCTGCAGTCAATTACTAGCTCAAGACTTAGTTAAGAGGCAGACACATTGTTGAATCATATGTTTCCAGTGGCAGCATAACTACCAGGCAGTTACATTACGCAGATAATCGCAGTACACTTCTTTTCATCACTAGATGCCATGCCACATATAAACTTGGGTACTCATTCATCATGTGACAAAACCAAAGCAAATTTAACCTACAAATGAAGAAGCTCCGCTAACCTTGGGTAATATAATAAGGGGTAGGTTATTCTTACACCAATATAAGAATAAGAAGCATTACATTCATTTTTGGCTATTGATTCACTCGTATCAAATGACTCACACAAGTAAAAAAATAGAGTTGTTAGATATAACTGTGATGAACGGCCAAAATTGAGAATGACTTATACTTGTGTAAAATGATTCTGACCCATATATAATAATATGCCATTCCTCTAGCTAAAAGGTACAGTAGTAAGGAAAAAGGGATTAATTGTAGCATAAATCAATATATAATAATATATGTCCCTTCCATACTACTATGATTAAATCAATAGTTCAATTGGAACAATTTTAATGGATGATACTGGAGTAGACTAGAAGTTAATACAAAATTACAAAAATTGAAAATCCATATACCTGGGTTTCCAAGTTCTCAAATTCTGCTAAAATCTCCTCCTCGTCTTCTGCTGATAATTTCTCCCCTAGTATTGCGTTAATTTCCTTCAAATTCATTATGGCAACCATCAGTAATCATCAAATGTAAACAAAAAGAAAGCAAGAGATGAAAATTGGCAAAAAAAAGTATCAGCCACACATTAATAGCCAACAACACCAGTTAAAGCTCAATCAAACCAGTACAACCTTGTTTCAATCTTTTTTTTTTTTGAAAAAAAAAAAGTACAATCCTAGTACAATGAATCTAGACATAAAAATCAGTTCTCAAAAGCAGCAAGAGTAGGGAAAAGAGTGAAGTCAAGCTCACATCTTGATAAGCTTTAGCTTCAGCAGTGTCATCCATAAGTTTCTGAACATCCTCAATGTTTATCTCACTTTGTATGGCTTTCATTGCATCATTACCAGCCTTCAAACTTTCTAAAACAGCCTTCTGCTTGCTTGCCAGTTCAATATCTGCTAACTGAACCAAAGGAACAAGTGCACGTATTTGCTTTAGGCATATAACCATGTTAAAAGAAAGCAGTGTTGACGCAGACTTAACTCTTTAGAACATGACACCAAAAGGGGAAAACACTGAATTGGCACCACGGACACAAACAATTGTAAAGCCATCAAAAGATGCAAACGGATAATGATTTAATTATTACTATATAAATAAACCACTCCCCATTAAATCTTGACTAACGAGGGTAAGGGTAAGGGCAATCCTCGTACGAAGTTTTACCTTTACATATTTGAAAAGAGGCTATTTTCTGGATTCGAACCCTTAAACTCTCAAATCTCAATTACAAAAGAGCAACTTTACCACTAATCTAGGCTTGCCCTCAATTTAATTATAATTGAAGAAAAAATGGACAAAACAAAGAAGCGAAATTAAGAAAATGACAGAAAAATAAAATCAATATTAAAATATTACTTGTTGCTCAACATTTATAAGCCATGCATCAACTTGCTTCAACAATTCTTCTTGTGCCTTTTTTTTCTTTAGTGCTAACAAGGCCCTGTCTTTCTTCTTTTCACGAATCAAGTCTCGTGCAGCTTGCTTTTCTGCTTCGATAACAGCGTCAAGCTGGAAAACAAGGAAAGCAAAAAAAGAAGAAAAAAAAGAAAAGAAAAGAACTCAAGTAAGGCAACATATCCTATAAGGTACTAAAATACTTATGTTCTAACTAAAATGCTATATCATCATTGACCAAATAGTCAAGACAACTCCAAAAGATCCTGAACTTGTTCAGTTAAAGAGCCATAAATTCATACACCCGTGATTAATAACAAAAAGTGAAAGCATCATCAATCTTCATATAATCCATTTTTTCATACATCACACTTCTTAGCATTTTAAACAAGTTTATTTGCAAGCCAATTTGATTGCATGTGCCCAGGCAAGTCAGAATAATTACTGAATTACCAAGGAGTAAGAAACGACAGATGAAAAAGGAAACAGTTGAAATATGAAAGCAATGTCTCTCTAAACTTGACAACAAAAGACATATACATGAAAAGAAATGCAATTAACATGAAAAAACACATACACCATCGCATCCCACTACACCATTTTGATTAAAAGAATGCTCTAATACATATTAAAATATAAAACACCCCTAATGATTAAAAAGGGTGTTGGTTTAGCTCAATTATTCTTGCATTGCCCCCATTATCTTTCAAGGAACAAATTCACAAAAAGTTAGAAATTTAATTGAAGCAAACCTTTTGTTGATATTGAGCAAGCTTGCGTCTTTGGGTCTTGAGTGCGAGGATTGCTCGATCGACATCTGTTACCTTTGGCTTCTTCGCTAATAAATTACCCATCGATTCTGATTTCTCACTCTTCTGCTTAGGAATCGAATCATAGAGAAAACCGGGTATTCGTAATCATAACCGCAACTTCAACCTCTTCTGTTTTTTTATTTTTAACTTTTCTTTGAAGAGACCAAACAATGAAACAAACACCAGCAGAGACCAACACTTCTACAGCCTGGCCATCATGGTTTAAAAGCTCGTAAGTTAGAAGAGAAACCATTAATAACACAAAGGTTGTTGCTTTTGGATTATCTGTAAAAAAATTGATAAAAATAAAGGGGAAGGAAGAATATACTATTGATTTCCAGTTAATTTAATTGTTATAATTTATGAAAATTAATAATTAATTAATAAATACGATTTAATAATTTTCAATAAATTATAATTATTAAATTGACAAAAATTAACGGTAATTAAGTTGATGGTAAATATGATAAATTTTTTGGTAGTAAGTATATCTTTTTCTAAAAATAAATACCATATTTAAAAAATTTAATTTTGCCCAAGGGATTAGTTTCGTCGAGATGAATGGAAAAACTGCTAGTAATGTATTTTTTTTTTTTTTTACAGATATCAATTAATATCCAAAATTCTAATAGACTAATAGATATCAAGTGATGTTCAAAACTCTAATAGGTGTTACTAATTTGGTTTTGAATTTGAGTATTTGAACTCTCTTCAGGAAAAAAGTTATCTTTTAAATTATTCAAATAATTATTTTTAGTTATTTATGTTCATAAGTATTAACTTTTTCTCCAATTACTTACATTGATATGCAGTAACCATTTTGTTTAAACTTTAAAGAGTTTGATTTTGATAAATTGTTTGTATAAGAAAATTCATATAATTATTTAATAATGTATATCACATTATTTAATATATTTGACAATTCATATATTATTGAAATTATTAAATAATGTGATAATATATTATTGGATAATAATATAAAAAAATATTAACAATATATGTTAAATTTTTTATTCAAATAACAAAAGACCGAAAAAGGTTATCTTTAAAATAATGTTGTTGTTTTGTTATTTAATGAAGTTTTTTTTTTTTTTGGTTCTTTGATTGAAAGAGTTGTTTTATGTATAAAAAAAGGGCAAGTCGAGCGTCATGTCACAGGAGGCAAATACATCTTCCAGCACATACATCAAAAGCAGTGCTTAATTTGTTTACATTTTTTGTTTTTTTCGTTAAGTGGGAACCACAAAATTCTGTCTCACTAACATGATATGAAATCTTTCGTGTAACATGAGGCTTCATTTCCCGATAAAAAAAGGAGATGTTTTAGTTTTTTTTGGATAAAAAAGAGAGTTATTTAGGCAAAGTGTTAATTATCTCTCACAGTTCTGCAATAAGTAAATGTGGAAATACTTTCTCATGTTGTTGAGGAAAGTATTATTCATGTCATTCATACATCGATATGCGTGCTTTGTTGTTTTTTATTTTATTTTAATTTTTTAATGGTAAGATCTATCTTAAACATGTGTGTGTAAGAAAATTTCTTTTCTCATGTGAAGAAAAACAAAGCCCTAAGTAAATATCAAAATGCTCAAATCTAGTGTTATAAATAATCACACGGGATTTTGGGCCAATTACACAGCTTTGTCTTTAGAAGGATGGAAATAAAACATCAGTTTTGTTTGTTTGTTTGTAAACAACATCACTTGTTTTTTGGTATAATTAAGTTTGTGAGGTGTTGATGTCCAATTGTCCACCTACATATGCCTGCGCCATGTTGGTATCTTCCAATGCAGAACTCTTGAACCCCTGTAAAATGCAATTCTCCCATGGTTTTGATTTGAGGAGTATTCCAATTAGTGAGGACCTTGCTTCTATTATCTACCCATGATGAAGATTGATGAAATTCCAAACAATCATACCAAACACATTGTAAAATTAAAAAAAATAAAGAATTATTTGAATATTAAAAACAGAATATTCATAAAATGTTGTAGAATTGTTTTTTTTGTTTTTTTAACGTTAGATAGTTGACCTCATGTCCATAATTTATTTACAAAAGATTTTAACAATTGAGCTAATTGACACCTTCCTTCATCTTTGGTCATTTGGGATGTAAAAGTTATTGTAAAGTCATGTATTTAAATAAATTTTTTTGACATAGTATAAAATTTGTTGTAAAATGCTTTCCGTATTATCATAATTTAATTCTTTGAGTTTTATGTGACTAATCCTAAGTCGGAACTTTAATCATAATTAAAGCTCTTTGTTTCTCTCCAAAGATATATTTTGTGAGATCAAATATAATTTCTCTCTCCACCTATTCAGTCTTTGCTAATTGAGCTACATCCATTGTGTTAAAATCATATAATTTTGATCTAATATCATCATGAACTTTGTATTATCTAATTATGTATTGCTACGTTATTAAAAGGTCATAATAGTAATTATATAAAAGCTTAAACTACTGTAATAATGAGACAAGTTTTGATAAGATAAGAAAATGAATAATATTTATTAATAGTCAATCAAAGTCAAGCTCTCAACAATAAATTATTACTACTAGAATAAGAAAAAAAGTAGCCCTATTTATAAGGTTGTATTTAAACATTCTGTACTGAAAGTATATAATTAACATTGGGGTTTCATTTTCTCTTGCAACATGATATTAAAAGTTTTTTCCGTAGATACAATCAGGTGGGCCCCATTGGTAAAAAAGAAAAGAAAAAAGATATTGGTACAAAAAACAACTCTAATAACATAATATAACCACTCTCCTGCAATATTCTTTTTATAAATCCCATTAATATAACCACTCTAATAGCATTTTTTTTTTAAAACACATTACGAACAAGTCAGCAAAAAATTACAAAAGCGCATGAGCGCGTGAGAATTCTTTTTAGTGCCCTGCTAGGGTTTTGTGTGGTTTGTCTTCGTCTTCTTTATTCGTCCTTCTGTCGGGGGATGTTTGAGAAATGGGGAAGACCCCACAACTCGGTGGTAGAGGAAATCAATGGCCGAGAAAGGAAAAAAGCGAAAGGGGAATAGCTGGTGGACCAGGTCATGCAGGAAAATTCTTCGATTGTGGGCGCAATGGAGGAGGAGGTAACCTTGATGTAACACAGGTCAGACAAGATGAGAAAAACAAACTGGAAGATGAGGTGCGTAGGGATCTTGTAAGCTCGTGTCCTATAAGGATAGTCTCATCCGGATGAACGGAGTGTGGGACGACCAAAAAGGGGATGAAGAAGACGATTGGATGGTTCAAAACAAAAGAGACGAAGCCGATGAGAAGAGGCAATGAAAGCATATGCCCAGACTGAGGAAGATGACCCTCTGAACCCGTATTTTCAGTTCGATGTCCTAGAAAAGTTGAAGGAGTGCAAGAAATGGATGAAGACACTGATTGTGAAGCTAATGGGGAAGAGGCTGGGGGCGAAGTTCCTCTAGAGCAGACTCCACAAGCTCTGGAATTTAGAGGGGGCATATAAGGTGCTGGACTTAGAAAACGACCATTATTTGGTTGATTTTGAGAAGACCCAAGATTATCTTTTTGTTCAGCAACAAGGCCCCTGGATTGTGGCAGATCACTACCTTACAGTGCAGCGATGGAGGCCAAACTTTGATCCGCATAATGACAAAATCAGAAAACTAGCAGTCTGGATCAGGATTCCGGGTGTTCCTCGGGAGTTTTACACACGCAAGGACCTTTGGAGGATAGGCAACATGGTGGGAAGGACCCTCAAGATTGATGAAAGCTCTCTGCATTTTATGGGACAGAGCCAAGAAGAGGTAACCGACAGAGGTAGGTTTGCTCGTATTTGTGTAGAGGTAGATCTTAGCTAGAGCTTACTTTCTAAGTTTAGAATTGGACAGAGACAACTTTATATTGGTTATGAAAGGTTGCACCTGATTTGTTTTTGTTGTGGTAAATATGGTCATAAAAAGGACCAGTGCCCAATTAACCCTGATAACTATAAGACTACATAGGAGAATATAGTAGGCCATAAACTTTGCCACCAGGAGGATCATAACCATCATGAAAGGGGTAATCCAGAAAATATTGAGAAAAGACAAGAAACTGATGGCTTTGGGAACTGGATGACAGTCCAGAGGCAAAGTAACAACAGGAAAGCAGTTCAGAACCAAAAGCCCAAGGAAGTTAAACAAGAAAGAGAGAAAGTCATAGGGGAGCATGGGCAGCATGGGAACAAGGAGAGAACAACAGGGTCGAGGTTTGCAATGCTGGGGGAAGAGAAAGAGGAGGAGAACTCGGAGGTGGTTAATCTACAAGTTGGCTCAGAGGGTAAGACTTCAGGTTATTTAGCAGGGAATGGGGGTATAAAAAAGAATACAGACACAAGGAGAAGGAAGAATAGCCCAGGTAAAGAAGCTGGAAACTCACCCTCTGGTTCAAATGGCAAATTGAGAGGAAAACAGATCCAGCCGATTATCATGAGTCAGGCTGAAAGGCTACCACAAACTCAGAAAGCATATCAAAGAATAGCTATACTCATCAATAGAGTTGTTGTTGCCCAGAAAGGAAGCCCTGGTCCCAGTCTCCAGGATAATAGATCTGTCCAACCTCAATCAGCAAACTCAGGGCCCATGTTAAAAGAACTTCCTGACACAAAGCCACGTGCATAAGGAGAATATGCCAGCTATAGCTGAAAGGGGGAAGAAGCTTAGTCAGGGTGCTAGAGACTCTATGGTGCTAGATGATATCACCAATATGGGTGTGGGGACCAATAAAATTGGATCCACCTAGCTGGGTGTGTTTGGGCCCTTAAGTATTATATCCAATTTTATGTTTTTAATGATAGTGTGTACTTGGAACTGTAGAGGAGCGGGGAAGAAAGGTCTTTCCTCACTTATTAAGGACCTTGTCTACCAAAATAGAATTCAAGTTCTTGTTTTGCTAGAAACAAGATTAAGTGAAAAAAAAGCTTATCAGACTATTAGGAACCTGGGCTTTGATAGCTATTTTAGGAGGGAAGTTGTGGGCTTTTCGGATGGGATTTGGATGCTCTGGAATAAAAATGAGGCTAACATTACTATTCTGAAGGAAGAGCACTAGCTTGTCCATTCCAAGAATATGCTGGTTGGGAAATGGGAAGAGTAAGTACTTCACTTTTGTTTATAGCAGCCCTAGGAGGATGGAAAGGAGAGTACTTTGGGATAGTTTGAAAGCTATTGAGTCTAATGGAGTTGGTGACTGGGCGATGATGGGGGATTTCAATGCTATTT